TCAGGAATGGGGTTAGTGTCCTTTAACAAAGGCCACGGACTGTCCCCCTTCCCACTACGTGGGAGCGCCGCAGAGGCTGTCTATGACCGGAGACGGGCCTTCCGGAAGTCGCCGGTGCTTTAATCTGTTGGAACTTGCCTGACCTCCGAATCGATGAGCGATACATTTACTGTTGCCTATAATACTAGGCTGGCGTATTGTTTTAGAGGTCCTGGACTAACAACTTTCCCAAGGGAGCTCTTTAACATTTAAATTATTTTTTCAGTTGATAAAAAAATCTTAAATGTTTAATCAGTTTCTGTATAACATTCCATTGTTGAAGGTTTTTAATTAATACCCCTCCCTTATTAATGGACATTGGGTGTGGCCCTCCTGTTCCCTATGACCTTAGTAGATTCCACCTTCTTGCAGGGCTGGGCTCGGTGCGTGAGGGGAGGTGGCAGCCAGGCCTTATCTGGAACTGCCTCCCGGGGTTCCTGAAGTTCTCTCTCTGTTGCCCTTGCCTTAGTCTGTCTGTCTGGTTGTTCTTGTCTCTCTGTTTCTGGTTCTCACTCTGTCTGTCGTCTGCCTTTCCCTCACTCTCTCCCTCTTCAGCTGATCTCTGCTCAACGGCTCTCTAACACATCAATCTGGCGCGTGCTTTTCGTGAGCCATCTTTCCAGAATGTGACTGCATTGGATAGCTTGGCTGTAATGCACAGGGCTAATTTAATAATGATGAATGTGTGATTACACCACCTCTCATCTGGAGCGGTTCAGTTACCTGGTCAGGACCGGGCGTGTCCGTCCGCTGCGTGCGGCTGCTGTCGCCGGGACATATGTGATTCTACTAGCGCTGGGTCTGCAGCCTCGGTCTTCCTCCCGGTCAGTTCCAGACTCTGGAAAGTCAGAGGTTATTCAAATCTTGACTTGCGAGTTGCAAAGACAGAGTCCCTCTCGGAGAGGCTCCAGCCACGAGGAGCTGACGGTGAGCGAAGCGGCCACGAGTCAGGTCCGCATGAGGTGCAGGTGCAGCAGTAGGACCACAGTCAGGATACGCTGCATGTGAGTGACAGAGACAGATCAAGTCTGGATCACGTGGAAAAGGAATTATTTGAAACAATCATGAGGAGGCTCACTGCGCTGCTGAGAATCTACAAAATAGTCCCCAACGGGTTGTGATGGGGATGTGCAAAGGAAGCCCGCCATAGAACTAGCCTGGCCATTGCTGTATGCTGCGGGCCACTGGGCATCAGAGGCAACGTCGCGTGCCCTTGCTGCCTGGCTGGCATTGGCACTGCTGCTTCCACCAGTACAGCTCTCTCCTGTCTCTGCCTCTTTCGCCCCAAGGGCTGGTGGCCTAGCTCTTGCCTCGCGCCTCACGTGCAGTCCGAAGGGATGGCAAGTTTAAGGACGGCTCTGGAGCCGAACCGGTTGAGTCTGGGCTCTGCAACGCATTATCTGTGTGAGCCTGGGCAACGGTGTGTGCCTCAGTGTGCTCATCTGCAAAGGGGGATAATAAGCCATGCCAACACCACCAGAAGGTTGTTGTAGATAAATGACGGAATGATATGTGAAGCATGTAGAGAGGCAGTGAATAAGCATTTTAGTTTACATTAGTATGATTTTATTATTTTAGACGGATTAATTTGGTTTGTTTGTAAGGCAGTTGCTGTTTCTTAGGAAGGACTCAGTGGGTTTAAACTACAAGTGGGTACGTAAGACCAGGGGGTGTATATTGCAGTATTCCGCTTTCCATTTTCAATGACTCTTTCTATTTTTGAGCCCCAGTTCCTCTGTGGTCCTAAATCTCAGGTCAATCTGGGGCCTTTTACCTTTCTACATTATTTATATTTTTATGTTTATTTCTTATTTTTTGGGGCAGGGTTTTCTCTGTTCCCAGTGCTGGAGTGCAGTGGCATTATGATAGCTCACTGTAGCCTCAAACCCTGGAGTCAAGTTGGTCCTCCTGCCTCCCAAGTAGCTGGGATTACAGGCATGCACCATCAGCCTGGCTATTTTTCTAGTTTTATACGAGGGAGTCTTGTATGTTGCCCATGTGGCCTTGAACTCCTGGTCAAGCATCCTCACTGCCTTAGCGCTGCCAAAGTTCTGGATTACAGGCATGACCCCTGGCAACCCGGCCAATTTATTTTTTAACATTACATCAGAATGCTTAACGCAGGCATGCATTTCAGTTTACCACATCTGCACCCCTCCTGTTGTCCCACAGACCCCGCTTTGTATTTACGTTACGTGACTTGGTTTCTGAGATGTTTGACTTTATGATTGCAGCACCTAAGAGCTGGGGGTTTTGAGAGACAAACTTGTTAGGGTTTTGTGTCTGTACTTTCATGGAGGTCCCTTCCCCATCCTGAGACGATAAACCACCAGGCGCATCACTTGCTCGTGGAGGACACAAAGAGACACTTACGTCCAGCCACACACATACAAGGGCCTCGTTGCGGCGGCCATGCAGGACACGTGGCTTGACTCTTGGAATGGACGTGTGGCACTTGCTCTTCTGGGCGCTGGTTTCTTCACTCTGCATCTGGCGCCTGCTGGTTTCCTTCTTGTCCTAGGAGTTGCTTTACGTGGGCCTGAGGCCCATTCGTCGCAGCGCTTCCGTTGTTATGAAAATGAGTTCCCAAGCAATGCGCTAGGCGGCTTCCTCTGTTTCATTTCGGGGCGGCTGGGACAGTAGTCTTGCCAAAAGCTTCCCGCAGGCCAAAGCACGCCGACACAGGTGGTGTCCCGCATCTGACGGTGGGGGTGCTGCATTGTCTCTGGGGCTGGAGCGCACTGCTTGGCCTAGTGTTGGGAGCCACTCCGTGGGCCCCACCCCGCTTAGCACCTTGCCACACGCCGGCCGAGCAAAGGAGAAGCCATGGACATTTTAGGAGGTGAGTGTTGCCCCCAAAATGCTTTCTCAACACCCATGAGAGGAAGTGTTTTCTGGGCTCCCCTGGGGGACGGCAGTTGCTGGGGTAGGTGTGGAGGTGCCATGGCAATCCTTCCCAAACATTCCAGCCCCCCTGGCTTTTCGATCCTCCACAATCATGCCAAGGACAGCTCTGGCTCTCTTCATTACACGTGGGCCACCATGGAGTCCTGCGTTCCAACCAACCAACCAAATAAGCATTTAGAGCACCGCCAGTGACCTAAGCTAACTCATACCACTCTCTAGTCACTGCACCCGGTCGGCCCTATCTAGGGTTATACTGCCTGCCTTGGTCTGACCCTCGCTACCCTCGGTTTCTGCCAGTCCTATTGCAGAATCTAGCATATTCATATCTCTGTAAAGCTCCTTTGCTCTGTGTGTGCATGTGTGGGAAACACAAGATGCTTATGGTTCTGGCGCACCAGGGGAGTCGGGGGGGTTTGAGGAGCACGCA